CTTCAGATGATGGCTCCCTTTTACCAGAAACACTTAGGCCTCTGAGGGAGCTCTGACTGCCATCTTCCCAATACAATGCCCCCTGTCAGGAGGAAGCAGTTGAGATCAGTCTTCATCCCTGTTCTAATGGTAGTAAGATATGCATCTTCAGAGCAGGCAATGATAGAGATGGGAGGCAACAAATGTCTAGGCAGAGAGGGACAGGTGCCTGGTGAAACCCCACCTTCAAGTCAGAAACTCTCCCTGGTAAATCCTAGGACCAGACTGAGAACCCACCTTCCCATTTGGTGTGTTTTCCTCTGGTTGATCCCATCCTTTACTTATTTTACATCTAGCTACCCTTTCCTAATTGGTTTCCTACACTATCGTGTCAACCTTTGAGTGCTGTCTTCGCCTTAACCTTTTTTGCATACTCATAAACCAATTGTTATGTACTCCCTATTCTGAGCCCATAAAAAGCCCTAGGCTCATCCACATTGGGAACTCTCCTGCCTTTGGGCAGGAGGACCACCCCTGTATCCCCTCCCCACAAAAAGCTGTTTTATCACTCAATAAAACTTCCACCTGACTCACTTCCAGTGTTCACGTACCTAATTCTTTCTGGTCATGAGACAAGAACTCAGACCTAACTAAGCTACAGAGCAAAATTCTACATCACTAGGAGGAAAGAACGGATTCAGGGGCCAGGCCCAGGGCTCTACTGCCCTTCCCAGCCTCAAAACACTGTTCCCCACATCCTGGTTACTCTGGTTCCAGCCTTGGCTCAAAGGGGATAAGTTACAGCTTAGGCCATCACTCTGGAGGGCACAAGCCATAAACCTTGGCAGCTTCCATTCAGTGTTAAGTCTGCAGGTATGCAGAGCACAAAAGTGAAGGAGACTTGTCAGCTTCCCCTTAGATTTCAGAGATGTATCAGAAAGCCTAAACGCCCAGGAAGAAGCCTGCAACCAGAGTGGAGCCCTCACTGAGAGTCCCTAATAGGGCAGTACAGAGGGGAAATGTGGGATTGGATGCCCCCCAGCAAGAGTCCCCACCAGAGCACTGCCAAGTGGAGCTATAGGAAGGGGGCTGTTGCCCTCCAGACACAAGAATGATAGAGCCACCAGCAGTCTGCAACCTCAGCATAGAAAAGCCACAGTGGCAGAGCTTCCTAAGGCCTTGGTATTGGTGCCACTAGAAAGAGCAAGGTTGGCCCAAAACACCAGTGTGCCCAGGATGTGGGACATGAAGCCAAAGGAGATTATTTTGGAGCTTTAAGACTTAATGTCTTCTCTGCTGTGTTTCAGACGTATATGGAGCCTGTTACCCCTTCTTTTAGCCAATTTCTCACTTTTGGAATGGAAATGTCTACCCAATGCATGTACCACCATTATATCATGGGTGTAAACAACTCGTTTTGATTTTACATGTTCATAGGTAGAGGCAATGTGCCTTGAGTCTCAGATGAGACTTTGGATTTGATGAGTTAAGATTTTGGGGACTATTGGAAAGGGATGATTCTATTTTGCAAAGTGAGAAAGACATGAGATTTAGGGGATCAGGAGTGAAATGATATAGTTTGGATGTTTGTGCCCTCCAAATCTCATGTTGAAATGTGATCCTCAATGTTGAAGGTGGTGTCTAGTGGGAGATATTGAATTTTGGGTGCAGATATTTCATAAATGGCTTAGCACCATACCCTTGGTAATGAGTGAGTTTTTGCTCAGTTAGTCCATGTCAGATCTGGTTGTTTGAAGATGTCTGGAACCTCCGCTCTCTTTTTTTTCCTGTACTCACCATGTGATGCACTAGCTCTCCTTTTGCCTTCTGCCATGATTGGAAGCTTCCTGAGGCCCTCACCAGAAGTAGATGCCAGGAATATGCTTCCTGTATGGCCTGGATAACTTTGAGCCAATTAAAATTATATTATTTATAAATTACCCACTGAATCAGAATCCCTGCAAGGAGGACAATAAACTTGTATTATCACTAACCTTCCCAGGTGTTTCTTACCCTGATCAACTTGGTGTTAGGAACCACTGAGCTGCATCACATCATTCCAAAGCCAAAACACAAAAGCAGAGCAAGAATATTTTCAATACAGTCTCTAAAACTCAGGAGAAACTTTTGGGGGAAGCTAGAAGTGAAGGAGACCCTGCTTGCTGGGCTCTTCTTAACCTTAGCCTCAGTATAGCAGAGACAGGAGTCCTTCAGGACACATGCCTCAGGCAATGAGAGTCCAGTATTGAAAGAGTGGAAGCCCTAGTTTCGAATTCAAGCTTGCTTTGAGTTGAAATTAAGTTTACCTCTTTTGGCACAGCAACAGGGCCAATCTTCTGCAAACTGCTCACTTTACAAGAAAAAAAAAATCACACTTCAAACTAAGATTCAAACTTCAGCAGACATGAGTAAGTAAAAAAGTCTGATAAATCTATTCAAGCCACATAACAAGAAACCAGACATTTAGCAAGTTCTTTCACGTTCAGGACATTTGTGTTCACTAGATCAGAGGCACTGAGACATGAAGAAAAGACACCCTAAAAAGGGAAAGCATTCCTTCCTGTCCTAGGACATGACAGCCAACCTCAGAAAAGTGGGAACCCAGCTCTCCACTCTGCGGTATGAGTTGCTTTTGTATCTGGAATGTGTCTGACATCCTGAGACCTGGACCCATTTTAGGGAGATTTGGGAGGAGCGTGAATTGGACAGCGTGTGGAGATGGTTCAGCAGGAAGAGGGTAAGTGGAGGAGCATGGCCAGGTCACACTGAGAGACAATGAGCAGTGCTGATGGGGATAGTCAAAGATTAAAAACAAAAGTTTGTGCTTCTACTTCAGAAACTGAAACCAACAACTAATTTGCTCTTATAAGTAATAACAAGTATTTTCCTATTTACATAAGAATTTAATCTCAAAACAGAAATTAGAAAAAAAATATTAAGTCCAGGACATAAAACTTAAACTATAGCTGAAATTTATTCTTTCTAAATAGAACCAAGAGTAAAATCTTCTCCATAAAATATATATCGTGGTTATAAAAAGGCCAAAGTCTTAATGAGAATCATTGCTATTCAATAGAAGAGTGAATTAGTAGAGCCAAGGGCAGACCCAAGTCTCATACTTCTTTTGTATATTCCAAAGTTCCAGAGAAATTCCAGGTGATAGAGACTATTTCCTGACTGTTAAAGCAAGGTGCAGACACTTGTGAATTTTGGGCCCAATACTCTAGGAGGGCACACCTAGGTCCTGGAAAATGATACAAGAATGAATATTCTTCTCATGACTCATTCTGGTCATTCTAATGAAACCACAGAAACAAAAGCATGGAACTATGGTCAAATACATGATTTGCTATCCCTCTTTTTCAGGTTTTTTACCTGTTTCTTACAGATGATAATACGACCTTAAGGATTATGATGAAAATATAATATCCAACTATGTGTACACTTTTAAACAAAATGCCTAGTACAAATTGGAAGTTAATAATTATGGAATAATTATGTGAATCTACTGAATTATATGGATTTTATGAACAATTTCTGAATAATTATTGATTGCTTTTATTGGCAGTGCTCAAAACTCATCGCTGGGTGACTTCAAGTTCTAGTAAATCCTGTAATTTTGTGAACCTGCAGTTTCATCATTTGTAAAATGAAGAAACTTGAGAGCTTTTCATTCTGGCACAGAATGTCAGGTCTCCCAAACACCAGAAAATAGATGTATTTACGGCCTCTGATACATCTCAAAGCACTGTCATTACACAGCGTAGCTGGAGGATGGTGCAGGCTGCTGAGAGGCAGGTTTTCAAATGGGATTGACCCAGCCCTCCTTCCTTCACTTCTACCTGAATGCTGTGTAGCCTGTGTAACACTGATCATACCTTCAACTCATGCAAGTCCAGCAGCCAAACTTAGGAGACCTGGGCTACGGGACAATCTCCCAAGTTCTAGCCTCACAAAATCTAGGTGAGGAAAAAAGCTGAGAAAGTGAGGAGGTGGTTCCTAGTCATCCCTCTCATCCCAAACTCAGCTTCTACTGCACAGGAACACTGACGATCATCAAACACCCCGACCATGACCATGATCTTGCCAGATTGTTAGTGAAAGGCAACAACACATCAATGGTGTTATATCATATATATATATATGGATATCTCCAACAATATTCCATAAGAAGTGTTGATGGCCCAGTTCCTTTTCCTTTCAATACATGGGAAAACTAAATGAAAACAACAAAATAGCATCAGATTTACAAGACTTCCCAAAATATATGTTCAAACATGTTTTCAGGGGCTATACACAAATGATTTTGATCATTTGATACCTTGAAAAGAGCTCTTGTGGGACCAGAATAATATTGGCAAGTGACAAGTATCAAACAAGTGTTCAGTGACATTAAGAAAACAAATCAGCCTGCAGATAGAGGTAGAGATTTGCACATAGGGATGTGAACTGGTCTTAAGTGTAATGAAAAGCCAAGATGCTGCCTTAGTCAGAGAAAAGAAATCAACATAATAATGGGATGCAGCCAGGAGAATACTGAGCCAGGGGAAAAATATTTTTAAAAATAAATTATTGATGAACTTTTCAGTAGGTACAGAAAAAAAAAATGCAGAGCCCAGAAGATACCATGGCAGTTTAAAAGTTTGAAATATTTCATTTGTGGAAAAGCCTTAGGATCTGTTTTAACTTAGAGAAGGTGGGATGACTTCCTGACTAGCACTAAGAAAATGTAACCATTTGGGAAACTATCTCTACCTTGATGATTTTATACACACACGAGATGAACAACGAGGAATATGCTTAGATGTATTGAGAAAGAGGTGAGTCTATGGCATTGTCACAAGGGTGCACAGACACTGAGAGTGACTGGTGAAGAAATGGTCCCCATCAATGACTGTCGGGTGAGACCAGGGGACTTTGGGTTTCAACACAGCCTGGGCAGTTGGAATGCAGGGCTCCTAAGATTCCATGACACCCCCACCTTCTAATTCTGTTATTGCAACTGCAGACGGTTACCTGGCACGCTGGCTGCTACCCACCTCACTCTCGTCAGAGGCAGAGCTACAGGCAGTGCCTTCGGCTCTGAGCTCAGGCATCCTAAGCGCTTTTTTTTTTCAGTTAAGGACTCTCAACGACTGTGTTGTGTGGATCAAGTTCTTCTCAACCGTAAGTCAACAATTCCAGCTGTTGTCATCCCTCAGTCCTGAATAAACCTAGTTGATTCATTAGTTTTTGACCCATCATGTGCCTGGACTTCTCCCCAGTCCCTGTTTGAACTCTTCTGCCACAAATGTCAGCATGGTGGTAACTGCCGTACATTTGTCCCATGACAGGGCAGAGATGAAAATCCTAGAAATCAACCAGGAATTGCGCTCCCAGCTGGCAGAGAGCCAACAGCAGTTCAAAGACCTCAAAGAGAAATTTCTTATAAGTCAAGCTACTGCCTACTCTCTGGCTAAACAACTTAAGAAATACAGTAAGTTCTATAGATTCACCATCACGAAAGTGATGAATCAGCTGCTGTCTTCTCTCTGGGACACCGAACGTTCTCTTAATCAAAATTAATTTCATCCTTTCCTTAGTTCTAGGAAAACAGAAATGGGTATTTTAACTTGATTGTGTTAAGGGTGGAAAACAGAGGCACAACGTGGTTAGCAGCTTTTCCACGTTAGCAGTCCGATGTGAGGTGGGACTAGAGTTAAAATCCTGCCTACTGACCTCTGACACAGGCACAGATCACTTGTTTTTCTCAACAAGATGCTCGATCATGTTTACGAGAATGGTCTCTGTACCCTAGAAGATCCTGCAGACAAATAACATCTAGTCTGTTGGTCTAAATGTCTGCAACTAATGAACTGTCATTCAGTTTAAGCTTCTTTGAGGCCCTATAGGCAAATCTCTCTTCAGGGAACCCAGGCGGAAACATGGCGACAGTACAGAGTACCTGCTCTAAGGAGCTCAAAGAGGAGGCTGCTCCTAATAGTAACGGTGTCATCCATAAGTGACAGCATGAAAAGCAGGGAGTACCCTGCTGAGAGGGAGGTCCTGCTTCCTGGGGCACAGGCTCGTATTCTAAAGAGGAAGAAAGACAGCACATAAGACATTGTGGAGGTAGCAGTGCAGTGTGCAGAGCAGGGAGCCTGGGCCAGTCTCCTGAGCTCCATCCAAGTTGCCTGTCTTCTCTGTGCCTCAGTTTCCTCATCTGTTCATTGGGTACTATAATAATACCTACCTCTGTAAATTGTTGCAAGAATTACACGACCTGTTTCTTCTAATTCTCCCAGAATAATTCTTAGCACAGAGTAAACACTATCTATTAGTTCTTCATTCTACTGTTTCTAACTTAATTCAAACTTTATTAGTATTTGGTCATATTTCTATGATGATCTCAGGGTCTTATGCCTCATATTTTATATAATTATATTCAGATATGATTTTTTAAATCTTTGACATATTTGTGCTTGAAATTCCCAGTACCAGGGAATCCATGAGTCCCATAGTCCTAACGGCCTTTCCTACTATACAGGATATCACTACTTCATGCCCTAGTAGAGTGTTTGACAGGAGAGGCTGCAAGTCTTGGGAAAGTGTCCCAGGACTCAGAGTCAGACCTCAGGGACTACAAATTCTGACTCTGCCTCATTCCAGGTGAATCATCCTGTCAAGTGACTTGATGTACCACTGAGTTTCTTTTTCTCCATCTCTAAGTTGGAGAGTATCAGATGCCAGAAAGTTGGGAGGTTGATAATTAAAAATGAGGAAATCTCTCACTACAGTCTGGTACTGGGGATGCTTTTGTCCTTGGGGTGGACACTGCCACCTGCTCTGCAGGCAGTGACCACACCAGCATGTCCAGCCTTCCACTGAGGCAGGCGTGACTGTCTCTTCTCAGAGTGTGAAGAGGACAAAGACATCATCGACTCTGTGCTGAGGGATGAAGTGCAGTTCATAGAGGAGAAGCTGGCAGAGAAGCTCAAGCAAGCTGAGGAGCTCAGGTGAGCAGACGCTGTGGGGACAGGCAGGTGGGCAGGGGTGTGAATCTCTGAAGTGCAGCAGTTCAGCTGGGAGAACTAAGAGCTAAGCTGGGTCAGGACAAGGGCAGGCATTTACCTGCCAGGCACATTTCACACAAATATTCATAAAGCAGAACAGTAATCTTAGCAAGTTATGGGTTACAGTTGTTTCTTGATCTTTGATTTCTCTTTTTAAAACAACTAATTGTTGAATTGAAATTTGCATAACCAAAATTCATTAAAAGAAAACAAACCACCCAGCAGCATTTAATACCCTCAAAATGGTGTGTGATCACCACCCCATTTTCTCTTAGTCAGAGTCACCTCCTGACTGACTGCAGCAACTCATTCATTCAATCAATATTGTCTTCTTGAGCTGTCATTCTTTTCTTCTTTCATCTTTCCAATTCACCCCATCTGCACCTGGCCACATTTCTGTGCATGGCTTGTTTCCAGTCACTGCAAGGTGCACTATATGAATTTTCACATAGAAATGTCCATGGCCAAAGTAAGGAACTGAAAGGACATCCTTTTGCAATTGATTTAGGAAGGCACTGACTGGTTTACAGAAGAAAAAAAATGAATGGAACATCTTAAAGGATCTTATAGGAGCTCTCTCTGATACAGAGAAAACCTTTATTTAAATATATATTTGATATCTATATATTATATATAGAGATGTAGATTTTTTTTTCTTTTTTTCTGAGATGGAGCCTCATTTCTGTCACCCAGGCTGGAGTGCAGTTACACAATCTCAGCTAACTGCAACATCCGCCTCCAGGGTTCAAGAAATTCTCCTGTCTCAGCCTCCCAAGTAGCTGGGACTACAGGCATGCTCCACCATGCCTGGCTAATTTTTGTGTTTTTAGTAGAGACAGGGTTTCACCGTGTTGGTCAGGCTGGGTTTGAACTCCTGTCATCAGTTAATCTGCCCACCTCAGCCTCCCAAAGTGCTGGGATTACAGACGTGAGCCATTGCACCCTGCCTAAAAAAATGTGTGTATATATATATATATATATACACACATATATAATTGCTATTGGCCACAGGCATTTCCCCAAACATGTTGTGACCTTCTGCTTGGAGGGCTCCTTGAGGACATTCTCACATAAACCTCCGTTGCAGTATTAGAACTGATCGCTCAGCCCTTTCCGTTATTAAATGTTCTCTGCTGTCTCACCGTAGGCAATATAAAGCCCTGGTTCACTCTCAGGCAAAAGAGCTGACCCAGTTACGGGAGAAGTTACGGGAAAGGAGAGACGCCTCCCGGTCACTGAATAAGCATTTCAAGGCCCTCCTCACTCCTGATGACCCTAACAAGTCCCAGGGTCAGGACCTCCGAGAGCAGCTGGCTGAGGGGTGCAGGCTGGCAGAGCGTCTTGTCAACAAGCTCAGCCCAGGTAAGGTGGACACAGGTCCTGATGACACACACACCCAGGTTTATCAAAGTCCCCAGGCCTCCATACCTCCACAATGACAATTTTATCGGTAATGTTTCTTTCCACTGAAAATTTGTAGCCATGACATGACCAGGACTTCCCGGGCAAAAACAGAGATGGAAAACTCATGGGGTTGGAGGTCACAGTATTGCAAATGTCTCTTCATTTCTTTTTTGTTTGTTTGTATGTTTTTTGTTTTTTTGTCT